TTTTCAACTATTTTTGCTTCATGTTTGTGGATAACTGTTTTCTTCCCCTTTCACAGACTGATGCTTTATTACATTCTAGATATCATAATTTAGATAAATTTAGAGACTGGAATAAGTGTCATTTTACCTCAGGGCCAAATCTTTTACTAATTCAGTTGTTTAGAGAAATAAGATGATAATTTCAATTTCATTTAATCATGAATTGAGTCAAATCACATCTGGATTGCAGCTTTATTTGATGTTAGTTCACCTGTGATTTCAAATAACCAAGGTCAAGACATGTCCTACATATTTTACTGGTTTTCTTTTTAGCAGTACTTTGATTTTTATAGAATACACAAAGGAGAGAAAGCTTGTTCTTGCAACATCAAATCACCCTCAGTTTGACAAGGTAGTCATCAAAGGTCTTGTAGAAGATGACTTCTGGACATGACATACACATTGTATTCATGAACTCACTGAATCTGTGGTGATTTATATAAGACCTGCACAAGATAGGGCTGGTTAACATTTCAGTATGTAGGGGAGAGGGGCCATGAGATCCTTGCTATTTTCTTTAGTAGTGTATCCACTGACAAGTTTCACTTGCTCCAATAACAAATTGCCACTAAAGCTTTGCAAGAAATTCTCATAAGCTTAGTGGTCCACACAAAAGGAAAGTATGAAAGTAGTAGGAGAACATGCTGGGAAGAAGAGTTTCAGAATGAGAGGAAGGTGAACAAGAAAGAAGGAAAGGGGATTTAAAACCACTAAAATTCATTGCAATAAAAGTCATTTTTAAATGAAAGTTAAAAGTTCTGTAGACAGTTGAGGATGAGAATATTAGTACTATGCTGATGGTCTTTATCTTATAAAATCAATCTAGTCCAACATACCCAGTCACATGACAATGATAATTTTTCTGTTTTATCTTGTCCTATTAAATCTTAATTTCTTATGAATCAATACTTTAGAAGGTCCTAGGAAGAAGCAGCCACTGTTATGTGCTCATGCAGAAAGTTTTCAAATATTCCACAGTTTGATTCACTAGACTTATGTGTATCTATTGCTTCTAATGTCTTTTAAAAATGTTAGATGATTTGACATTTTTTTTAGTGTCAATGGTGAGAGCAATGGTCTTTTCATGTTTTATTTCTTAAGTATCCAAAACACCTCTGGTTATCATTATGAGCACATTTTAGGATGTCTTTATGGAGGTCCAGGCAGATTTATGTGTGGTATGTTGTGTCAAGATTAGCTGCAGATGGTTTTGAGTTAATCTAGGTGTATTCTACCACACCAAACTCTCAATAATTTACCACACGTATCTATTTTCTCATGTTCATGAGTACATAAGTTAGTTGTGGTTAGATGTGGATGGATTATCTGGGTTTGGCTTTAGGCCACAGGGCGAGTTTAGATGCAATCCAGAGTCTATATCCTATCTTAGACTATCTAGTGCAAACAGTTCTTATGATTAGAACTAGCTCAATAGGATTATGGTATATAATCTGGACTGCACAGAATTCTATATCATCCTAAACTCATGTGAAGAAACTTTATTTCAAATGTATTAGTAGTATTTGGGTACAGAGCTTTGGGGAACATATTAGGTTGTGGGAGTAGAACCTTCCCAACAAGAGTAGTGCCCTCTTAAGAAGAGGCACTGGGAAGAATTCTCTTCTCTTCTCTTCTCTTCTCTTCTCTTCTCTTCTCTTCTCTTCTCTTCTCTTCTCTTCTCTTCTCTTCTCTTCTCTTCTCTTCTCTCCCTCCCCTCCCCTCCCCTCCCCTCCCCTCCCCTCCCCTCCCCTCCCCTCCTTTCCCTTCCCTTCCTTTCCCTTCTCTTCTCTTCTCTTTTTTCCTGTCCTGCCCTGTCCTGTCCTGCCCTGTCCTCTCCTCTCCTCTCTCTTTCCCTCCCCTCCCCTATTCTTCCCTTCCCTTTCCTTCTCTTCCCTTCCCTTCCCTTTCCCCTGCCTTTCTTCCCCCTTCCCTTCCCTCCCCTCCCATCTCCACTTCTCTCTTGTCTTCTTTTCTTCCATCACTCTTATCCACTCTCTTCTTGTCCCACTCTCCTCTCTCATCATCTTCCATTTAATCTTCTTCTCTCTCCCTTTCCTGCTCCCTTTCTGTGACATGTAGATATGAGAAATATCCATCTTCAAAGCAAGAAGAATGTCTTACTAATTACTGCATTTTTCTTTATTAAATTTTTAATTCATTTTACAAACCAACCACAGATTCCCCTCTCATCCTTCTTCCCACTCACCTCCTCCCACCTTACCCCCACCACAGCCCACCTCCCTTCCTCTCTTTCAAAAGGGTAAGTCCTCCCATAGGGTTATAGAAAAGCCTGGTACATTCAGTTGAAGCAGGACCAAGTCCTCCCCGACTGCATTGAGGTTGAGCATGGTGTTCCACCATTGGTAATGGGATCCAGAAAGCCAGGTCATGCACCACAGAGAGATCCCGATCACACTGACAGAGGCCCCTCAAACAGAGGGTCTAGTCCAGCTACACAATTGTCTCCCATATGCAGAGGGTCTAGCTCAGTCCCACTCAGGTTCCACAGGTGTTGGTCTGAAGTTTGTGAGTTCCTAAGAGCTTGGTTCAGTTGTCTCTGTAGATTTCCTCATCATGATCTTGACCCCCCTTCTCATATAATCACTCTTCCCAGTCTTCAACTGGACTCCCAGAGCTCAGCATGGTGCTTGGATGTGGATCTCTGCATCTGCTTCCAGCAGTTACTGGATGAAGGGTCTATGATGAGAGTTAGGGTATTCATCAATCTGATTACCAGTTCAGGCACCCTCACCATTATTGCTAGTAGTCTAATCTGGGGTTATCTTTGTGGATTCCTGGGAATTTCCCTAGCACCAGGTTTCTCCCTTACCCCATAATGTCTCCCTCTATCAGGATATCTCTTTCATTGCTCTCCCACTCCATCCCTCGCCAAGCTTGACCATCCCATTCCTTCATGTTCTCATTTCCCCATCCACTCCCCTCTATTGCTCCCCCCCATCCCCGGTTTACTTATGGAGATCTCCTTTGCTTCTCCTTCCCAAGGTGATCCCTATGTCCCACTTAGGGTCCTCCTTGTTTCTTAGCTTCTCTGGAGCTGTGGTTGTTGATTATCTTTTGCTTTACATCTAGTATCCATTTATGAGTGAGTACATACCATGTTTGTCTTTCTGAGTCTGGGTTACCTCACTCAGGATTTTTCTAGTTCCTTCCATTTGCCTGCAAATTTCATGATGTCACTTTTTTTTATAGCTGAGTAATACTCCATTGTGTACATGTACCACATTTTCCTTTCTTTTCTTTTCTTTTTTTGTTTTTTTTTTTTGGCTTTTTGAGACAGGGTTTCTCTGTGTAGTTTTAGTGTCTGTCCTGGGTCTCACTCTGTATACCAGGCTGGACTCAAACTCACAGAAATCCTCCTGGATCTGCCTCCTGAGTTCTGGGATTAAAGGCGTGCCCCACTACCACCCAACTGTACCACATTTCTTTATCTATTCTTTGGTTGAGGGGCATCTAGATTGTTTCCAGGTTCTGCTCATTATGAATAATGCTCCTAGGAACATAGTTGAGCAAGTGTCCTTGTAATATGATTGAGCATCTCTTGGGTATATGCCCAACAGTGGTATTCTTGTGTTTTGAGGAAGATTGATTCCCAATTTTCTGAGAAGCCGCCATACTGATTTCCAAAGTGGATGTATAAGTTTGCACTCCCATCAAAGTGGAGGAGTGTTCCCCTTCTCTACATCCTCTCCAACATAAGTGTCATTAGTGCTTTTGATCATAGATCATAGATCATAAAAACCAACATGTGGACCAATGGAATAGAATTGAAGATCCTGATATTAATCTACACACCTATGAACACCTGATTTTTGACAAAGAAGCCAAAACTGTACAATGGAATAAAAGAAAGCATCTTCAACAAATCATGCTGACATAACTGGATGTCAACATGTAGAAGACTGCAAATAGATCCATATCTATCACCATGCACAAAACTCAAATCCAAGTGAATGAAAGACCTCATCATAAACCCCGCTACACTGAACCTGATAGAGGAAAAAGTAGGGAGTAACCTAGAATGCATTGGCACAGGAGATGACTTCTTATATCTAACACAAGTAGCACAGACACTGAGAGCAACAATAAATGGGACCTCCTAAAACTGAGACGCTTCTGTAAGGCAAAGAACATAGTAAATAGGACAAAATGACAGCCTATAGAATGGAAAAAAATCTTCATTAACCCCGTATCTGAAAGAATCTGATGGAGAGCTGATCTCCAAAATATATAAAGAATCCAAGATACTAGACAGCAAAATGCCAAACAATCCAATTAAAAAATGGGTTACAGATTTAAACAGAAAATTCTCAACAGAAGAATACCAAATGGCCAAAAGACATTTAAGGAATTGTTCAGCATTCTTAGTCATAGGGGAAATGCAAATCAAAATGACTCTGAGATACAATTACTACATTTTTCATTACCTTGATCTTGATCTTGATCTTTCCAACTGCAAAAGCTATGAGAAATATTATTACTTAAGCCATCAATTCAATGATATTTTTCTTCTTTCATTGTAAACAAATGCAGGTTTAATACACAAGAAAATTTACAGTCCCATGTCTAATATTTGATTAGCCAATCCAAGGTATCATGGTATCACCTACATTTTAAGGGGCAAGGAGGTAGACTCTAGCAACAAAAAGAATTTAAAGAGAGTAGATACAAACCTATCACAGGAAAACAAGTGATTTGAAAACATTAATCACACACTGTATTAGGGTAAAAACATGAAATCAATAAAAAGAGACAAGAGAATATGCTAAATCTCCGATACCCATAAAATCTTTTATATTTTCTGGACTAACCATTTTTATACTGAGAATCCATATGGCAATCCCCACCCTAGATGAAAGAGAATAGATCAGAAGTAGCCCAAGCCTAGCTGCTGTCCCTGCTCCAGCTGGAAATGTTCCTCTCACCTGTTTCTCCCAATTCAGATTCTAATAGAAACTAAGTCTATTAAGGAAAAGAGAAACCAGGTGCCTAATGGAACAAACAATGCAACTGAAGCAGCCCAGACTGCTGGCAGGATTGTTGCCATTGGTAACACATCTTTCTCTGTCTTTGAAACTGCCATGCTATAGTCCTTCTCATCTCTAGTAAATAGCATAATTACCCAGAAGTCTCATTAATCAGAACTCTGGATTTATTAATTTAGTTCGTCTAGGATGGGACCCAATACTTTATATTTCAAATAAGTTTCTAGGATATGGTGACAGTGCTGGCCTTGGGATAACTTAGAGTAAACCATTGCATAGGTCTTAAATCTTCTGAAGCAAAGACATTTCATGCACTTTCTGAGGTATACTGGAAAGTTTTTGTTCTTTTCTGTGATTTTCTGCTGGTGTTTCTGATGGGATAAAAACATTCATGAGGCAAAAATGTTTGTAGCTGAGCCTGGCATGTTGGAGAGAACCCTATGCTGGGAAGGTGGATGCTAAGGCATCTTTATTACTGACTTACTTCATTACTTTGGGCAAATTTTGTTCATCCCTCTGGATCTTGGGTTCATTGGACGTAAAAAAAAAAATCTAAGCATTTGATGTCTGATTGAATGTTTTATTCTTTAAGACATGATCTCTTTCATTCTCTATGGTCATCACTGGGTCTTCACTTGTCTTGCATGACCTTGAAAATGTAAAGAATTTATTTCAGGTATCCTGGTATTTATTGGTTATTATATTGGAATTAAGTATTTTGAAAAAAAATCAGAGGTGCTTATGTAACATCTAAGGTGCGTGCAAGGCTGGGTACATAACTTTGGAGGACCAGTGCAAGATGAAGTTGTACAATCTCCTGTCTGAAACATCAGGAAAATAGTGAAGTTTCTAAACTGTAAGTATTCCCTTTCTTTCAACAAGTTCTCTCTCAGCTTGCCATAGTGTTTATTTATTATTCACTGCCATTCTAAATAGAAAAAATAATTATTTCAGTGAATTTTATCATTTATCATTGACAGTTTTAAATATAAATACAAGAACATTTAACTTATATTTAGAAGGACAAATTTGTGGAATTCGTATTTAGATATTTACACTTGTATGTGTTTTGTTCTTAACCAAAAGAAATGCTGCACCAAGCTAATTCAACTGTTTTTAGTTCACTTTTTGATATGCACACATTTGAACAACAATAGACTTTTGCCATACTGATGAAATCAAAACCACATTAATTTTCAGGTATTTCATTTTTTGTTACTCTTAGTATATGCAGATGATTGAAATTAAGGAAGCAACTGTACTCAGAAAGGATAGAAGAGGATTTTATATTGTTAATGTACACCACTGCGTTGTTTCGCTCCAAAGCACACTCAAAAGATAGAATCACTTCTAATGGTTATTGGTAGTCCTCTTACCCAGTTAACACATTCATCTTGTTCATGATTTTGATCTCATGGAACAGTAATATACCACAGGTCCATTGGAAGGCAGTGCTCATGGGAGCAGCCTGAATATATATATATATATATATATATATATATATATATATATATATATATATATATATATATATAGAGACAAGGAATTCTACACATGCATGTTGCATATATCTCCTCTTCTAAAAAAGATGTGGTCTACTTTCTTATTGCAATTTATTTACAGAACACAAAATCAAAGATAAAATTGTTGCAAATCTTAAGTTATCAGTTCTGGAGAAGTAGTTCAACACTTAAAAGCCTTGGTTACTCTTCTAGAAGACCCAGGTTCAATTCCCAGGACCCACATGGCAGCTCACAAGTCTCTATAATTCCAGTTAGAGGTTAGACTCTTCTTAAACCAGGCAAGGAGCAGGAACAAAGACAAACATACAAAACACCCATACACACAAAATAAAAAAAATTAAAATACAAAAAAGAATTTTAAGACATCAAAAGTTGCATTTTTTAGAGTGTACACTTAAAGAGGGGAAATGGAGATATGGCTGAGTGGCTAAGAGCAGTTCTTGTGTAAGTATAAAAACCTGAGTTCAAATCCCTGACATCCATATAAAAATTTAAGCATGGCTGTTGTATATATAATAACCCCAGCATTGTAAGTCTGGGACAGGTTAATCCTAGGAACTTGCTGGGCAGCCAGCCTAATAGCAAGTGTGAGAATCTCTTTCAGTGAGAGAGCTTGTCTCAAGGCTATGAGATTGAAAGTCATAGAGGAAGACACCAACATCCTTTTATGGCTTTTTTGTGCACACATGGTAGTAGACACGCATTCACGTGTGTAACACATATACAAATAACATAACACACACACACACACACACACACACACACACACACACACACATGCACACACAAGCAAACATTTCAAATTAAAACAAACACATAGGGCTCGTTTGAGTCAGGTGCTGTATGGATGCACAGGTTGCAATCTATGAGGCCACTACTAGGTAGTCATTATCCTCATTGCCGTTCTGTTGACTCAATTGCTTGGTGAAGGCAGTGTCTGCCACTGTTTTTCCATTGAAATGTTATTGTGTTGTCCTTTCCACAATCTCTCTGTTAGAAAAAAAAATGGTAAGTGCTGTCTAAACTTAAGGAGAGGGCACTCAAACTCCATTTCATGGAGGCAGAAGTTTTAAATGCACAAAATTTGTGCATATATGTTAAAAAACTACTACAGTTAATATGCATTTTGGGGTAGTGAAAGCTTTCTGTATCTATAAGGGCCAGTCTGGGAGTCTAAAAACCTATACTTTGCCATTAGTTCTGCTATATTGTAACTCACAAAAGCATTGTAAAAGCTATAAAACTGATGTAAGTATAAAGCTAAGATCAAGAGAGCACAAAAACACTTCCGAGACTGAGAATGTACAACTCTTGCCAGTAAAAATCTTCAGATCTCAGGATCTATCCAGTCCCTGAGGAGAATGACCCTCTCTGTCAGATACTGTATGGTCCTGCTTTCCTTAGAAAGATCTGTCCCCTCAGGGGTTATGGGAAGCATGTAGTGAAATGGAGTTCTATTCATAGCATCCCCTGCACATGGATGGCTGGGAATAAGCAATTATCTGGCCATGGTGCAGGATCTCCAGGCCCCCTCATCGCAATGGCACACACTGCATCTCTGCCTGCCCACAATTCTCCCCACTTGGCAGATGCTATAGGCAGAAGACGCTGAGTGCAGGCGAATTATTTCCACTACTTCCTGGTAATTTCAGTACTGCATTCATCCAAGGCCCTCAAAATTCTTAATCGACAGGAATATGCTAACCTGAGACTGGGTCATGGAGGGACAGCCTGGAGATCCAGAGAGATTGGTGACAGCTGCTGCCCTCTCTCTGGAGAGGATAAGTGTAGCTATCATCATCCTTGGTGACAGGAGGAGGGATGAGCAGGTCTTTTAAGGTCTTTTCCAATCTGGAAAGTCTATGAATATCACTACCAGCTGAGAGCGATTCTCCATGCTTTATTCATCATGAAAATGACGCAAATCTAGAGAAGCAGCTTTCTCAGAGGTAGGTGGCCACTAAACCAGGCATCCAGACACTTAGCACTCTGAAAACACTTGCTGAGGAAAGTCCTTGAATTTTAAAAAAGAACATTTCAGGTAAAGATAGAAGAAACACCGTGTATTTAGTAATGCATGGAAATAGAGGCTGACGTGTTTTAAGTTCAATAGCAGTGAGCTATAGTTGCCTAGAAAAGCTATTGTAATTCTGTCTTGTATTAATGGAAGTAAAATGCCTTAGATGGAGAATGAGATCATTCCTATCTACTTTGTGTTAATCAAACCTTACCTGGGCAATACTATTGAAATCATAGAATACTTGCACATTCTGGAAAAAGTGAAAAATTTCAAAGACAAGTCACCAATATAGTGAAAGTCTTGGATTATTCTGTATGTGAAAAAAAGTTTGAAAAGTTGAGACAAGTAAAGCTTGAAAAACTAGGGGAGAATCCTTCATATGGGGGGTAAGATGAAGTACAAAAAAGAGTTCCCAGAAGTTACATACAAGTTCTAGTGAGCTAGAGGGACATGCAGTTTGTTTCAGAAGTATGCAAGAAATACTTTTTTCAGTGTCCAGAGTGAAACAAGGATGCTACACCATTACCATGCACTAATGTCTGGAGGCCTTAGATTACACATATCAGGGATGCCAGAATGGATGTTGCTGCAACAGCAGGTGGTCTTTTCTAACTAGAAGTCTCTGTGGCACTGATAACAGTTTTTTTGTATGATATCTTTAAACACAAGATAATTACAATCAAGATCTTACACAGATTGCCTTGTTTTAAAAAGTTTTCAAGTATACAGCAAAATATAACTATAGACTAAGATGTTATAATTGACAGTTTCCATATGAAAGGACTTGTTCAAATTGAGTTCACACAGTGCACAACTCACCTCTCTAATGTGTACAATTCAATGATCTTTTTTTCTGTTATAAATCTCTGAAACTGTCGTAGAAATTAGTTCTATGATACTTTACACATTACAGCTACAAAACCATGCCAATTTTCAATTATTTCTTGCTGAATGATAAATCATTATGTGAATCTGCAGAAGTATAAATAGCCATATACAACTATTGGAAACATTGCTTCTACTTTCGAGCCATTATAAATAATACTAATATATACATTTACATATAATATTTTGGTCATATTTTCTTCTACATTTTGATTATGTTCAAGAGAGGGATTTCTGGATCCCATGATAATGCTGTGAGTTTTCCCTTGTTTGTTTTGCTTTTGTTTCAGGCTTTTATTTCTGGATTTTACTGGTAGGGTTCAAGCCCAGGACCTTATTTATTCTTGCTAGGTGAGTTGTGCTACTGAGTTATACCCTCCAGGTCAGGTGTATTTAATCTTTGAGGAAGTACTGCTGACATTTTGCTAATACTTACTTTATAGCATGTATACCAGTCTATTCAACAATACCTTTTTTTATTAAGAATTTTTTTTTATTCATTTTATATACCAATCACAGATCCCCTTCTTCCTTCCTCTGGCCCCTCCAGCCTCCCCCCCCCAGCTAACTCACCCCCCCATTTCCCTCCTACAGGGAGGTAAGTCCTCTCATGGGGAGTTAGCAGAGCCTGGGTACTTTTAGTAGAGGCAAGTTCAATACCCTCCCCCTGCCTCAAG